GAGATGGCAAAAAAAAAAAAAAAAAAACTACTTCTGCTTTGAATTGGACTGACTACTACTATTCATTTATTGATCTACTATTCATATCCATTACAAATAAGCAAAGAAATGTAAAATACAGTAAAAACACTCTAAATCTGTTGAAACGCGTCACTCTAAAGTCGTTGGGTTTGCAGCTAGATATTATTGGAGTTCGCTGTCAGGAACAGTAAACAGCCGTTCACTACTGAAACACCACCGATTCTCGCTTAATCCTTTTGTGCGGGCGCACTTCCATTATAAAACGCTCGCAGGACATTTGGACAACTATACGCATATTTTAAAGGGTTCAAACAAAGAGCAAACCGTTTGTAAATCAGCAAACTTGTGCGACTCTGAAACAGCACGATTCACAGACATAAGATGCGCACAAACTCTAATCATCGTTATCTTTACATTTGCTTGAGGATTTGCTTTATACAGCTGAGAATGTAGTTCTAGTCGGTATGCAGCGGTTGGAAGTTTAAACAACAGTTAAGTCTGTATATAACAGTGAGGCTGTTTTGAGTCCAAAAAAGTACTCAATCACAGAAAACATGAATTTTAAGCTTGCCTATACTGCGGCCCATCTGCAGTATCCTTGTGGCCCACTATTGGGCCATGGCCCACCGGTTGAGAATGCCTGCTTTAAAGAAACGTAAAAACGTAAAGGGGAAATGTAAAGTTGTAAATCAAAACAGAGTCACTTACATATTGAAAAGAGAGCACTATAGAAGTGATGATGCCAGTCACCAGCATACCACACAGAGAGCACAGAGCAGACCTGTACATGAGGTGAAGTCCACCTGTCCAAACACACACACATACCAGGAAAACACTAGCGTGAGAGGTGGATTTATTACACTTAAGATGAATTACAGGTCCAATTAAAGTTTCTGACTGGCAGCTTATTATTGGATCAAAGTTTAGAATATTATGTAATTAATGTATTTATTCTAAAAGATGGTACATTTTAACTAATATCATTCACTGAAAAAAATAATTCAAAGACGATTCCTTGAATTTACTCAATTTTTTTTTTACGTTAAGTGGTTGTAAACAATTTATTTGTGTTGAATTTAAACAAACAAATTAAGTTGAACATTTTTCAACTTAATTTGATTGTTTAAATTCAACACAAATAAATTGTTTGCAACAGTTTTGCATGCAACACTTTTTTCAGTGTTGTATGAAAATTATAAGAACATAAAATCTGAGAATCTTTATCATTATTAACCCCACCGGAAAGAATGGGGGTTCATTTTCTTCCTAATTTACATTTTATGGTTGGCCAAACAGCATAAATTTGGTCCTGGACCATAACATCAGATTTATTTTGTATTGGTGTATATGTGAGAATAGACAAAGTTATACTGTGAATATTAATTACATAAAATAGAAAGTAAATATCATCTTGAAGAAATTTTGTAAATTTATTAAACTTTGATTAGTAACTTGTATTTCTAAGAACCCCATTTGAAAAACTTTAAAGGTAATTTTCTCAATAATTAGCAACCTTTTGGAATCTTCCAGAGTTTAAAATAGTTGTATCTCAGCCAATTATTGTCTAATCAAAACAAATCATAATGACATATTAATCTTTATGATGCAGGGTTATCAACAATATTCAGAAAGAAAATGCAATTATTTCATATTTTTTAATGAAAAAAAGTGATTGTCAATGTGTCCAGAAAATTTTTAATCTAGATTCTAGAAAATACTGCTTCATTTAGGAATTTTTAGATATTTGGACTAGAAACAAAACTCAAACTAGCAAGAAAAGCATTATTTTTTGCTACACTACATATAGGGGCATTGATTTAACAAAATGGTACTCCATACACCTCTAAAATCACCCAAAAAGAGTTGTTTTAAAATAAGTATTCCTCTTAAAAAAATAACTAAATATTCTGCATAAATGCGTTTTTTGAGACACCCAGATTAAAACACATACAAATAAGTAATGAAATTAACTATAGCTTATTACTATATAGTTATTTCTATAATAACTATAACCAAACTGTAGCTTTAGTAATAGAAAATGACCATAAAAGAAGACTTATTAAAGAAAATATTCCATTGTGCACAAAAATAAATTGATCCATCAAAAAGCAGGACAAACACACACAAAAAAAGTTGTCTCAAGGAAGCATGAGACATTGACCAGAAAGCCATGAATGTTTAAAAAGAGACAGGCCGTCATTGTAATCAAATACAATGGGGTTATTTTACACAAGCAACAAAGTGGCATTCAGTGGTGGACCAGAGGCGTGCGTTCAGCAGCAGCAGGTCTTACCTTCGTCTGAAAGGAGAAAACTGTGACGATCACACACACAATCGCTGTGATCCCCAGGGCCAGAAACACTGCTTTGGTGTCAAAGTAACTGTCAAAGAAAAAATAAATAATATGTGAGATTTGAAACCAACCACATGCAGTGTGTGAAACTAATGCAATTCTAATCAAACCTTGATATTGTTCCAGTCATGTAAGATAACGTGAGAGTCTGCAGAGGACAGAGAGACTTGTTAACTTAAAATACATACTAGATGTGAAAGAATAGTTCAATGAAAGCATCACTTACAAAAATGAACAGGAGAATGAGATTCCATGGATGTCGTCTCCTAAAAGCACAGACAGAGGTCTTATTGAATAGATGTTTTGGTACAACTAATTTAAAGTAAATACAGTTTAATTAATAATGAACTCACCTTGGTCCTTCACAGCAAACCAGCATCAGGTAAGTAACCAGATAAATCGGGCTGTGGATGATATTTCACTGTTACTTTAATATACGCTGTATAAAAAGTTTGGGGTTAGTAAGTATTATAATATTTAGATGATAATACTTAGGATGCATCAATAAGAAGTCAACAAACTTATAAAAAAGTTATGGTTAAGGTATTTATAATTTTACAAGAGATTACTTAATATTTAAACTCCGATAAATGCATTATTATACATTATCATTGTTTTATTTTATCTTTATTTGTTCATCAAATCAATATATTAATATAAATAATAAAACACTGAAGGCTATAGTAATGATGCTTTAAATCAAATTAAACAAAAGTAAGTTAATAAGAATAATTATTATTATATGAATAATAATACCATTAATAATTCTTTTTATTATATGAATGCCAGTTTTCACAACTGTTTTCAGCAGGTGATCAGTGACTGCAATAATGAAGATGAAAAGTCAGATTTGCCATTACAGCAATAGATGCATTTTAAAATATATTAAAGCATAAAACAAATCATTTAAATAACTGAAATGTTCCACACTATTGCTTTTTACTGCATTTCCAAACAAATAAATGGCCTGATGAGCATAAGAGATTTCAAAAACACTCACATTTCATACTAACCCCAAACATTTTAGCGTAATATGTAGTGCAGTATATATGACTTTAGTGATTTATAGACAGCAAAGTAACTCACAATGATGCCCAGTAAAGTGCAGGATTTTGGATGACGAACAGGCGTACAGGCTCACTGTAAGATACAGAATGTTTGCAAACGCACACATCTCATTACATTAGTAAGCGTAATGCATTCAATTCCATTCACTACAAGCTCTGTGATGGATTTACTGTACTCACACAAACGCAAACACTGCTATGATTGAAGAAGTGATAAACAGTTGGGCGGCTAAAATAAGATAAACCTGGAACAAACATCCATACAAATCACTTTGTTTGCATTTTATTTGATACACTAGATATACACTGTATGTTCTGTAGTGCCTCTTCTTTAAAAATAGAGTTTCAATACCTTTCTAATGAAGGCATGTCGAACACTCATACTCTCCCATACACCAGTTGATGAAACGTCCTCTGCATCTCCTATACAAATAAAAATCATATTTGATTGTAAACATCATACATGTGGCTACCGGAGGTGTAAAGTAACAAATTACAAATAGTCAAATGACTGTAATTAAGCAGTTTTTCTTAGAAATTGTAATTTACTGAGTAGTTTTAAAATTGTGTTTTTTTACTTTCCCTTGAGTACATTTTAGCGCAGTATTGATACTTTAACTCCACCACTTGCCTTCAACCTGCAGTCACTACTTTATTTTTTCTTGTCTATGGGTATTAGAACAATTAGTCCTGTGATTCCTGTCCAATCAAATCACACATAGAAAGAAAATCTCATCATAATGAACTACCTCAAGACATTTAGCACACTGTTTGGAAGCAAAAAAAAGTGTCCAAGAAGATATCCAAAACCGTTACAAGCAATGACCGAGATACTTTTCATAGACTGCATGTCACTGATGAGAAGGTAATGGATGTTGACTGTCTCATGGCCAATAACTAAATGCACTACATAATGTTATGTTGACACACATGCACATATTACATGTAAACACATAAGCGTTTTACAGCGTAATACTCACTACTCTTGGCTACTTTTAAAAAGGCTCCTGTTTACTCCTACTTTGAGTAATATTTACAACAGATACTTTTACTCACACTATATTTTTGGGCAAGTAATGGTACTTTAACTTGAGTATGATTTTTCAGTACTCTTTTCAGCACTGGTGGCAAAAGTATTTTGACTCTTAAAGAAGATTTTAACGCATAGTAATGGAAAAACATTTAAAGACCACTTGAAAATTATCTGGATTTAAAATATATTGAGTACATAATAAAATGTAACTTTTGCTTTATTGTGTAAAATACTGATGATGTTTTTTTTTACTTTATTATAAAAAAAAAGCCTGAATTGAAAACACTTTTGTATTATATTTGTATAAAGTAACTAAAAGGCGACATGTTTTAAGACAAAATAAATTAGTAATTTTTAGAAAATCTTCAGAAAAGTTAATAAATCCATACTTGAAATAAACCTGGTTTGCATTTGCAAGACATTTGTTACTCTGATCAGTTTTAATAGTATGTAAATAATATAATATAGTATTTATATTTGAAATTTACAGTGAAATGTTACTCAATTTTATAGTGTACTAAATTTTAGAATTTTACTCAAACTCACACCCAATAAATTCAGTAAATCCAGAGAAACTAAGCAAATCTGTTTTCAGATATTAAAAGATAAAAATTTTATTTATAAAGCAGACTAATACCATGGTAAAAAATAAACAGTGAAAAGGTAAGTTGCACTGTGCAGAACACTTCTGGAAAATAAACTGAATTAAATGAACAAAGCATGTATTTTTGGAGTTCACAAGTACTAGGCGATGCTATAGAAATCACAAAAAATACTTGATTCTTACTGAGGTTAGAGGAAAATATCCCTGGTGCTATAAATGACGGCATCATAGATGGCATTGCTGTAGAGGGATATCCAGGTCCCTGCCAGAGCCCTGGCTGTGGGTGAATGCCAGCCTGTCCCGGCCCTGTGTAAACCCCTGGCTGAGCTGGAAATCCGTAGGGAGGGTATGGATAGGTTCCATGCTGCTGTGGGCCATAAGACTGCTGTCTGGACTCCTCATAACTTGGAGGCGGATCTGATTTTGACATTTTGATGCTCCTGAAACCAAAACCATGTTATTACATTTACACATTATTATAATAGCATAATAAAGCAAAACACTGCAAGTGAAAACATTGTCATGCGCCTGTCAAGATTTGGTCTTTTTGGGGTTTTCAAAACATAAAACATAACCTCTTAGGTGTGTCTTTTGTCATATCAGTTTGTGTCTGTAGATTTGAATCGCAATACATATGTTTTCTCAAAATGTTTTTTTTTTCTCTCTCCCGTATGGAGTCATACATATTTACATCATCAGCTTGTGTACAGGTTTTTAGAGAAGGATTTGTTCTTAAATTGTTTGCTATATTGCAACATTTGATACTTCAAACCATGCATTTTACACAATGTTTGTTTTTCTATCTTACAAGCTTTTCTGGAACACTATGCAGTGATTAAGATTCCCAAAATTATCTATAAAAAAAAAAAAAAAACTTACACTGTCAACAGTTAAATTAAAATGTTGATCCTCACTTCATCTGTTGTTAGTTTTTTAACCCGGAGTCGTATAAGCTCATTAGCTAGGCTATATAATGATTTGCTTATTTGAACGTAATATTTAGGAACTTATCAAAAAATGGTTCTTGTATTCTTGCATAATTACTGTTTCTCAATTCTTCTAAACAATAGGAAAGCTAAATACATGGTGATAACTGCTTTTTTTACCCTATTTGCCTGATTAATACCAATAATTTTCTTTATTTACAAGTACACACTGAAGTTATGGAATAATACAATGGTCAAACGCAGTGCAAGAAGACAGCAAAGTTATATAACGTAAACAAACCACTTTTATCACTTTAGTTAATTTTCTAGGACAAAAGTAGCTCAAAAGTAATCTGTTCTTAGCTGTTTTGTTGGTGTGGCATCATCGTCAACATAATAAATAAATAAACATTTCTCTTACCCCGTTCACAAGAGCACTAATGAACCGAGCGCTCGCAGACTAAACTCTTTCTGCTGTACGTCAGTGACGCAGCGGCTGATGCAGTGAGGGCGCAAGGTGCCCATTGGAGCGCTCTGATTGGCTGGAGCTAAGCAACGCTACTAGGAGTCCGTCTCCAGTTTCCAGGTTCAGTTCTCACTGGGCTCCGCTCAATATCTGTTTCCAGAACTAGTCTAGTCATCTTACCTAATTAGGTACCGGATTATGTGACATGTTTTGGTTTTGGAAGTGATCTAACTTATTTTTTATTGACTTGAAAAGATGGATATGGGGTCTTTGGCACCGGACCATATCAACTTCTCTAAACTTTTCAGGATGGCTTAAAGTGTAAGATGTTTATGGTAATCAGTATTAGCTGTGAAACCATACAAACGGCGCTAAGACAACTAACGTTACTTGGGGTCCACAGTTTATTTTTAAGCAGACTGGATAATTCGTTCATTTGTTAATAAGGTTTTTAATAAGATTTAAAGAAAATTAAATATCTAAATAAATAAATAAATAAATAAATATTAAATAATAATAAATATTATTTTTATAAATAAAAATAAATATTAAAAATAAATAACGTTAAAATTTAGGTTAGTACATTTTGGACTGAAGAATGTGTGGTTCAAGTGTATTTTTATTTAGAATTTAATACATTAGATTATTATTATTATTTTTTTTATTTGCATATATTTTTCTTTTTTTTATCTCCATTTGAACATTTGAACTCAGGCATGTGTCAAGCCTATATTTAACAACTGTCTAGCTTCATTAAAAATGTTCCAAACTATTATTATCATAAATGTTCAAATATTATGTTAAAATGTTATAAAAATAGTCTGATTCACAGGTTTATTTGTGAATGAAATACCTGACATTCTTTGTCTTTGAACTGATACAGTAATGTCTGGGTTGTTCATGTAAATTCAGGTGCAAAATTAGGTATTGAGCTTCCATTACTCTTTTCCATTGTTCTAGCCATGGGTTATAGATTATAAAATGTATGGGTGTAACCGTAACGTCTGTCCATTTTTATAATTTAGCATTGGCGTTAAGGCAAAGAGTCTGAAATGGCCTGCAGAAGATCTCCTTATCCTGGAGTCAGAAACAGCCTTTAAATGTTAATATGATGTACAAGAGAATACCCCTTTTCTCTCTGTTCGCATGGACACAGCATCAATAGACATTTGTTTGTACATAATTAAGTACAATGCTTCTTAATAACAGCACTGTAGATGTTGTTTCTTTGTGGTACTAGAATTAATTAATTAATTAATTAATTAAGAAACTGAAATGTATGTAAAGAATAGGAAAGAGCTGGAGGTCTTGCCTGATGGATAAGACACAGCTGTGCTCATGCAGCAGCTAATCTATTTTTTGTCCAGACCTGCATTTCTGCTTAGCAGATTTCAGTCTAGACACAGTTTCAAAACACTACGATACACCTTTATAAAAGGCTCAAGAATATAATTAATTAAATCACAAAAACAAGAAAACACTTGAACCTTAAAAAGTATAAATGCAGTTTTGTTTACCGGCATGGATTTGTTAACATTAACGAATATCTGAGAACTGTGGATATTTGAGTATGTTGTTAAATTGTTGTAATTTAAATTATTAAACTTAGCTTTACATCAAACAAACGATTTAATTTTGTATTTAACGTATTGTGATATATTCTAAATACTATAATGTGCACACTAAATATTGATATTTAAATCTAAACAATCAATAAATCTTTGATTTTTTAAGTAATGTTTCACATTTCTTTAGATATGATGTTAAAAGTGTATTTTTAATGTATTGTCATTTTAACATATCTATGTAAGATAATAAGCATACACTCGGAGCAAGAAGAAATGCTTTTAAGACTTAAATATAGTGAATTGATAATAATTTGTGTAGGTGCAATAACGTAAATATACCCGTTTTATCTAACAGAAAGGATTATGGTCTTTTATTATGAAACCTCTTATCCCGGCACTTCCGGAACTGCCACTGTGTGAGCTATTTGGGTTTAGGCTGCTGTCATGTTGATAACCTAGTATTTAGTGCTGTAAAGTGCTTCTTTTCTTAGGTTTTGCGTTTTGAAGTCCAGGATGAAAGAAAATACATGCATCAAAACGATTCACTGAAGGATCTCAGACACTTATTTCAGCTTGTTTCTCCAAACTCAGCAGCATTTTACAGCCTGTTGGTTTTGCCTTATACATATCTATAAGAAGTAAGCAAGCATGCTGAAGGCTGTCATTCTTATCGGAGGCCCCCAAAAAGGTGAGTAAACATCCGTCTGACTCTTTTCAGCAGTTCGGATTGACATCATAATTTTGGAGTGAATGGAATAATCAGAGAAATAAGAAACATGTTAAATGTAAACAACTTTCACCTGTGTTGTGTGTGTAGTGTATGTTTATTTTAATAGCATATATAATCAGTGAATATTTTAATGTATTTGTGTACATAATATCTCAAAACAATAAAAATATGCATTTTCAATAAAATAACTACTGAGTTCAATTTGTTTACTTCATCAAGGTAACTTATTAGGTAGTTGACAAGATGTAAATAATAAAGAAGCTTACATTTATTGATATTTTAAAATTTTGTTGGGCACATTTGCTTGAAGATAATTATTAAAAAACTTAATTGGCAGTGGACATCATATGTGTCCTAAAACGCATTTACATTTATGCGTCTAGCTCATGTTTTTTTTTTTTTTTTCATCTAAAGTGACATGCAAAAGAGGAACTAAAGTATTTTGTCAAGTATTTCAGTTCAACAATATTTTTATGTATATATGAGTCTGATTTTGTGATTTATTTAAACAGGGACCCGCTTTCGGCCACTGTCTTTTGAAGTGCCCAAACCTCTGTTTCCAGTGGCCGGAGTGCCAATGCTGCAGCATCACATTGAGGCCTGCTCTAAGGTAAAGTACTCATTTTACACTTTGAAAACAATATGATATATTAGCACATCAGTAATAATTTATGAAGGATGGTGTAACACCAATGACTGGAGTTCAGCTAAATATCCGATCAAACAAATGACTAATGAGAATTATTACTTAATTGTTATTTCTAAAACATTGACAAACCTTAAAATTTTTAAACTTTCGTATGGAGATAAATATATATATATATATATATATATATATATATATATACACATACACACACACACTTGCTTCAAAATGGGAGAAGGTCTGCATTTGTGTACTAAATAATCTATGTTTTTTGTTTTGAACAGCTTCCAAATATGAAGGAGATCTTACTCATTGGCTTTTATCAGCCCAATGAAGAACTAAACAGATTTTTGTCATGTGCCCAACAAGATTTTAAAATATCAATAAGGTATGTTTCTGAATAATATTTATATTTCACTTGTGTTTATTGTGTCATTCATTCAAGGCTTAGTCCATTTATTAATCCGAGGTCAGTACAGTGGAATGAACCGCCAACTTATCCAGCAAGTTTTTACGCAGCGGATGCCCTTCCAGCCGCAACCCATCTCTGTGAAACATCCACACACACATTCACACACACACACTCATACACTACGGACAATTTAGCCTACCCAATATACCTGTACCGCATGTCTTTGGACTGTGGGGGAAACCGGAGCGCCCGGAGGAAACCCACGCGAAGGCAGGGAGAACATGCAAACTCCACACAGAAACGCCAACTGAGCCGAGGTTTGAACCAGCAACCCAGCGACCTTCTTGCTGTGAGGCGATAGCACTACCTACTGCGCCACTGCCTCGCTGTGTTTATTGTGTAAAAACTAAAAAGGTTTTGGGGAAAAAAAAAGTGATGTACTGTATATAGTTAATGCGCTATTAGTATTACCAATTAGAAATGCAAATATAAATAAGATTTCAAATAACCTTGCAAAGTTACCATGCTCTTTTGCATAGATTTGTAGATTTTAGAATTATTTTTAGCCTTCTTTATGTTTTCCGTTTATATGGTACTTGACAATAAAGAGCAATAGAGTGCACCAAAAACTTAAAAATATTAAAAAGTAACTCTGCAAGTTTAGTGTCTTAATTAAAACCAAAACATTTCAGTAAATTTATCTTGTAGAAGCAGTTGTTGTTTATCCTTGTGGTCTGTCTCTGCATATTTTGTCAAGCCTTCAAGTTTTGCATTGAATGAATCTGCAAATCTGAATTTCTTTACTAATTTAAAGTATCAGTCATGATGATCCCAGACCAGCTAAACAGCCTCTGTTTCTGCCTGTCTCCCGCTATAGCCACACCCCTAACTCTCACTTTTGCTTGAATTGAACAGTGATTGAAAGATTTGAGTTGGCCACTCTCCATGTTTCTAGTGTGCCAGAGATGCGTGGTGTTTACACTTTTATAGGCGATATAATCTTCAAATGATGATGAGAATTTATTTTGATATTTAAAAACTGTAGCTTCTTCACCTTAAATAAGCTTTACACTGATTGTCTGCAACCCCCCTCAGATATCTTCAGGAATATGCTGCTCTGGGAACTGGAGGAGGAATCTACCATTTCAGAGATCAGATCTTGTCTGGAGGTCCAGATGCATTTTTTGTCATGAATGCTGACGTGTGCTCAGAGTTTCCTCTACCAGAGATGCTGGACTTCCAGAAGGAGCATGGAGACACCTACAGCTTTGTCATCCTCGGCACCACTGTTAGGAGTTATTTTATTTTGTATTTATGAATCCAAACATAAACATTTTATGACGCAAGACCAGCTAGCTGCTGGATTTCCGCTGGCCGACAATTATAAAACCAGATTTTTTAGTTATGGCTTGTTTTATTCCTGGGATATTGTAATCAATTCTTAATGTTTTGTTGTTATGTTGTTGTGCTTGTAAATCTAATGGACACACTTAAATTGTATGTTTTAGGCCAACAGAAAACAGTCCCTGAATTATGGCTGTATTGTTGAGAATGAGCAAACTGATGAGGTAAGTCTTTCATTTGCACATTAACATTTTATTTGAGTAAAACATAGGATTTCATCTATAATACTTTTTTAAAAGTAATTTTTACAGTTTAAAGTCTTAGTTTAGGCAAAATTAAAACTTAATCATCATTTACTGTCCCTCATGTGGTTCGAAACGTTTAGGAGTTTCTTTTTTTCTGTTGAACTCAAAAGAAGATATTTTGAAGAATGTTAGAACCTGCCATTGAATTCCATAGTAGGTAAAACATTCTATTGGAGTCAATGGTTTCCAGCATTGTTCAGAATATCATCTAAGAGAAAACAACAGAGAAAGAACATTCAAAAATGTTTAAAACATGTGGAGAAAGAATAAATGATTATGGGATTTTCATGTTTGGGTGAACTATGCCTTTAAATCAAATACGATCACAACTCTCTCATCATATCTCCCAGGTCTTGCATTATGTAGAGAAGCCCGGCACATTTGTGAGCGACATCATCAACTGTGGAATATACCTGTTTACTCCGGAGATTTTCCAGCACATTGGATCAGTTTTCCAGAAGAACCAGCAGGAAATGTTGTTGTGAGTGGCACAAAACCTGCCAGGTTCTCCAGCGGAAGTGCATGCATACATACTGTATATATTTTCCCTCCTTGGTTCTTCATTTTTCTTTTTCCCCTTTAAATTTTTCCTGTCTGCCATCATTCTGTTTCCTGTTCCATCATCAGATATTCATACGAGGGGTAAGTTTGAACATGATGATGTAGAAAGAGGAACAAGTGTGACGTAGGTTTTGTAGTGATTGAACCTGCTTGTGTGGTCTTTGAACTAGATTCATATTGGCATGTTGCGGTGTGGTCACACAGGTTGGTTTTTAGTTTTGAACTAGTCATGAATATCATTTCAGGAAAGATGCTGCTTTTCTAGTACTTCATTCTAATGTACCATAGTGAAGTAAAAATTTTCCAAAATAAAAAGATTTTGGTCAATTAAGTTAAAAAAATATTCAATTTGCTTACCGTTTACTCTCTGCCAAGTGGTTCCAGACCTTTATGACTTTCTTTGTTCTGTTGAACCCAAAAGAAGATATTTTGAAGAATGTTGGAAACTGGCTGCCATTGATGGCTATAATACTATGCAAGTCAGGGGTTGCCAGATACTGGCATTATTAAACATGTTTTTTTTTGTGTTATGTATTATGTTGGACACACAATAAGATTGTTTGAAACATGTTGCAAACTGTCAACTAGTTAAATACATAGTAGAAAAAAAAATACAATGGAAGTCAATTGCTTCTGGTTTTCAACATTCCTCAAAATATCATCTCCTGTGTTCAACAAAAGAAAGAAACTCAGATCGGTTTGGAGCAAGTGAAGGATATAAAAAGTTTTACAGAAATGTACTTATTATTATGAACTACTCATTTAAGAAGACTAACACATTTAAAATACATTGTTACTCCCATGACTAGCAATGAATTTTGAAAGTAGAACATTTTGCAAATGCTATTTCATCTTGTTTTTAACACCGTCCATCCTTATAATTAATTTCTACCTGTTTAGATTTCTCTAACTAATTATGTGTTTGTCCATCATAGTTTCATTTTATGTTGTTCTCTGTGTCGGAGAAAATAACATGACCAGAGAGTGAAACGAGGACTTTTATTTTGTGTTCTGCAGAGAGGAGCAGTCTAACGGCTGGCATCGAGCAGAGGTGATCCGTCTGGAGCAGGACATCTTCACTGCTCTGGCAGGGCAGGGCAAGCTTTACGTGTACAAAACAGACCGATTCTGGAGCCAGATCAAATCTGCTGGGTTTGTTCTTGACATAATTCTCTCAGTTATGCTCTTATTATGTTGCTGCATTTTGTAGTTGCTGTATTATGTTAGTGATTGTTATGTTCTACTTTCAGATCTGCGATTTATGCAAGCCGTTTGTATCTGAATCAATATCACAAGACACATCCAGAGAGGTTAGCTACTAATACAGAGGGAGGAGCAAAGACCAGAGGTAAATGTTAAGTGTAAATATTAAACTTGATTTATTTTGTTATTTATTTAAATTGCTCAGCATGCAGCTCTTTTAATTTTTTTACTTACTTTTATTGTAGGAAATGTTTACATTCATCCCACTGCCAACATTGATCCTACTGCTGTGGTGAGTGTTTCCGTCTGATAATTAATCAGATATTTGTTGCTAAAGGATTCAGAGATTTTGAGACAAGAGAACACACATTCACTATTGACTATTAACCATATACTAGAATATTATCTTGCTAAATAATAATAATGTCAATGCCAATTTTATTTATATAGCACTATTAAACACAACCAAAGGTTGAACAATGTGCTGAACAATAAATCACAAAGAACAAGTATAAAATTATAGCTAAAACAAACAATTCTCACAAATACCTAATATAGGTAAAAACAACCAAATCTCACTAATAGTTATTGTAGCTAAAAACAAACAATTCTCACTGATAAAATGCCAAATCAAAAAGGTAAGTTTTCAACCTAGATTTAAAAACAGACAGCAATGATATAGACCTTATACAGTGGGGCAGAGCATTCCACAAAGTAGGACCAGCTATTGTGAAAGCCCTGTCACCCCTGCATTTCAGCCTCGACTTTGGAATGAATAAAAGTCTCTGGTTTGATGACCGAAGAGACCGTCCAGGCTAATGTTCAGTCAACAGGTTTGACAGGTAGTAAGGAGCTAAGCCATTTAGAGATTTAAAAACCAGGAGAAGAATTTTAAAAGTTACACAATAGTGCACAGGCAACCAGTGCAGAGAGCGCAGTACTGGTGTGATGTGGTCATATTGTGTGGTGCTGGTTAAAAGCTTTGCAGCAGCATTTTGAACAAGCTGTAGGCGGGATAGATTTGTCTCACTGATCCCAAAATATAGCGCATTACAGTAGTCCAATCTTGAAGTAATAAAAGCATGAATTGTTTTTTAAAAATTTTTTCTTGATAAAATAGGTTTGACCGTTTTTAAAAGTCGAAGCTGAAAAAAGCAGGATTTGACCACTGCATTAATCTGCTTATCAAGACTTTAGCCATCTTACTATATGCTTCAATACTAAAGCATATTACTAGCAAACTATCTGTTTGCACTTATAAAAAACAGTAATGGATTATTTTGCATGACAATATTGTAGATGCGCCCAATTAAATAAAATGTAAATTAGATTTAATTTGAATTGAAATATAGTTTTACCTAATTTCCTAAAACTCACCTTAATTACTATTAATAAGAAGCAATTCAGATTTTATGATGAACACTTACAATTTCATTAATAATGGCACATTTATATACAACGCTTTTATTTGTTAATACACAATGAATTTAATTTAAAATAATTTAAGTAAAGAAGTATAAAAAAAATGTAATTCAGATCAGTCATTGTTCACAGTCATCAGCTTGAGTGATGATGTTAAAAGAAGCTCAGCAGTAAAGTGTTTATCATATTTTCAAAATCTTTATACTTTGAATGGGACTTTATACTATATATTTATAGTTTGAATATACTTTATATTAAATAAAAATAATATAATTACATATAATGTTTTTTGCATTTTTTACATCAAAAGATAAATGAGAAATTAATTAATATGACAAAATGGATATCAAATTTGTCCCCTTTTTTGTGTGATCTGGCACGGCATTCTAAGCTTCAAAGCTTATCTTTTGCCAATTTTGTCTGGTAGGCCTTGGTTTGGGCATCTCTGTTTTACAACGTTCACTAAGGAATTAAAGAAAAAAGGCATTATGTGTCAAACTTGTGTAGGTTGTGTAGGGTCTGAAAGTAAGATTGGAATTACTGACAATGTGTTTTTTATTCAGGCAGTTCAAAATATTCAGCTATATTATACACTACCTAATGGTCCTGTGAAATTAAAATAAAGTTTTTTATATTAACACAAATCAGTCCAAGGCACTCAAAAAATGTGGAAAATTTAAAAAGCCTTTATTCACATGGCTAAATCTTAAAAAAAAAAACCTGTGTTTCAGCAAAGAACTGCCTTCATCAGGGTGACATGTTCATACTAGTATGTTAGTTTTAAGGATGTCTATAAGCAGGTGTGCTCCAAAACACTGACAAAATTTGTTTTCAGAAGAAATAAACCTCACATAAACATCAAAAGCTTGCAGTTCGTCACTTCTGCCTAAATCATAGGTGTCCAAACTTGGTCCTGGAGGGCCAGTGTCCTGCAGATTTTAGCTCCAACTTGCCTCAACAAACCTGCATGGATGTGTCTAGAAAGCCTAGTAAGAGCTTGATTAGCTAGCCTAGGTGTGTCTGATTGTGGTTGGAACTAAACTTTGCAGGACACCCCTGGCCTAAATGGATCAACGTTTTTTCCCCACATCATCTCAAATTTTAGTGTTTCATAAAATCTTGACCAATCAAATGCTCTCTTGTATCTGACATGCCCCTCCCCCTTCAAGATGCTTATAATTTGCTTTTCATTGGATGTGCTTGAGCTCCACCACTCTCTTTGGCAGAGCTGTGATGAAACAAAATGCTATTGGCTGTTCTTTAAAGGGGAGGTGCTACTATATGCCCTGTCCTCTCTTCATGTTTTAGTTGAGATTATGTGGCACAATAACTAAACTGAATCCATTTTATTAATGCTTAATTGTTTTTTTTTTTATATTTTTTTTTTCCCCCAGTTAGGTCCGAATGTGTCAATAGGAACAGGCGTAACGATCGGTGCAGGAGTTCGTGTGAGGGAGTCCATCATCCTTCATGGTGCTACCTTACAAGTGAGTTCAAGCCCCATCCGCTCTTTTTTTCCCTCCATGTTGCTTTTTGTCTGCCATTTAAACCCAATGACTCGCATCGCAATATGCAATATATAACCTGACGGTGTGTGCTGTAGGATCACAGCTGCGTGCTGAACAGCATTGTGGGTTGGGAAAGCACCATTGGCAAATGGGCCAGAGTGGAGGGAACTCCCAGTGACCCCAATCCTAATGACCCATACGCCAAAATTGACAGCGAGACGCTCTTCAGAGATGGAAAGCTAACTCCTTCCATTACAATTCTAGGTAATTGTGTGGGAGGTCATCATGAATGTATTATGTATTCGAAAGCGATTCATCTAATGTGATTTTCTCTCTCAGGCTGTAATGTAAACATCCCGTCTGAGGTCATCATACTCAACTCTATCGTCCTGCCGCACAAAGATCTCAACAGAAGCTTTAAGAACCAGATCATACTGTAGTTCCACTATTGTGAGTAGTTTGGGCATTTGGATATAAACAAAAAAAAATAAATAAATGTTATGGTTTAGATGTTAAAATGTTTGGTGATGTGTAGAGTGCAGATGGATTTACCAGATGTGTTATGATGCCAAAGCTGGATAAAAAGAAACATAAGAAAAGTGTTTTTGAAATGACTTGAAATGTTTTATTTGCTGTTGGCTCGTGGCAATGAAATGTCAAAATGAAATGCTATTTGTGAACTCTGTTACCATTTTTTTTCAGCAATGAATATATGTAGCACAAAAAAGGGAAGACAAATGGTAAAATCTTGTAATTGCAGACCAGCCGTGTTGGTAATTGTTTTGAATAATTGATGTTTCTGTGACTGCTCCCTGTATGAAAGCTGAGCAGAGTGCAAGATTTAGACATCGGCAATAAATTATATTTTGATTAAGTCACAAAGGGTAATAAAGGGATTCACTGCTGCCCTTGTAGAAATCACAGTCTGTATTTATGGTGTAAGAGCTACATGAGCATCAATTATTTTTTACCTAACCTTGACGGTTGAGACAAATTAACTAAAGACTTCACATCATTTTTTTCAGAGGTGACAAAAAAAAAAATCTAAGAACAGTTTAACAACTGATAAAATTTCCCACAGCTTTTCATTTATACAGTATACCATGAATACTTATGTATATTTAAATTGTTACATAATTTATAGTTTTACACTACATAAAACTGTGTACACTCACCAGCCACTTTGATAGGTACACCTGTCCAACTGCTCGTAAACGGAGATTTTTAATTAGCCAATCACATGGCAGCAATTCTATGTAGACATTTGGACATGGTCAATACGATCGGCAGCAGTTCAAACTGAGCATCAGAATGGGGATGAAAGATAATTTCAGTGACTTGGAACGTGGCATGGTTGTTGGTGCCAGACGTTCTGAGTATTTCAGAGACTGCTGATCTACTGGAATTTTCAACCAAACCATCTCTAGGGTTTACAGGGAATTTTCTGAAAAAGAGAAAATATCCAGTGTGCGGCAATTCAGTGGAAGCAAATGCCTTGTTGATAGAGGAGAATGGCCAGACTGGTTTAAACTAATAGAAAGGCAACCGTAACTCAAAAAAAAAAAAAAACTACTTGTTACAACCTGAGGTATGCAGAAGAGCATCTCTGAATGCACAACATGTCCAACCTTGAGGTGGATTGGCTACACCAGGTGCCACTCCTGTAAGCAAGAGCAAACAAGAAACAATTCACACAAGCTCACCAAAATTGGACAATAGAAGATTGGAAAAACATTTGCTGGTCTGATGAGTCTCTATTTCTGCTGCAACGTTCGGAAGGTAGGGTCAGAATTTAGCGTCAGCAACATGAAAGCATGGATCCTTCCTGCCTTGTTTCAGCGGTTCAGTCTAGTGGTGGTGTAATGGTGTTGGGGATATTTTCTTGGCACATTTTGGGCCTATTAGTACCATTTAAGCATTGAGTCAACGCCACAGCCTACAGTGCCTGATTATTGTTGCTGACCGTGTGCATCCCTTTATGACCACAGTATACCCATCTACTGATGGCTACTTATGGTAGGAAAATGCACCATGTCATAAAGCACAAATCATCTCAGACTGGTTTCTTGAACTTGACAATGAGTTCACTGTACACAAATGGCCTACACAGTCAACAGAACTCAATCCAATAGAGCACTTTTGGAATGTTTTGGAACAGGAGGTTCGCATCATAGATGTGCAGCCAACAAATCTGCATCCACTGCAAGATGCTGTCATGTCAATATGGACCAAAATCTCAGAAAAATATTAACAGTTCCGTGTTGAATCCATGACATGAAGGATTAAGGCAGTTTTGAA